GGGTGTGATAAGAGACGAGCATCATAGTAGGGAAGCAGGAAAACGATCGTAACATCACGTCGGTTGGCGCTGAAGGAAGAAAAAGTTATTCACAGAATGCGACATAAAGCTAAGCGAGTAGTGTAGACTAATACATGTTAGGTTCAATCCCCTTCCTCAGAATTACATACGAAACGTTAGAAAATGCCCACTTATATATGAAAATATTTAATATTTTGACATGGAAAGATTGAATATTCCTTACATATACCTATAACACACATAGCTACGCATAAAATTTCGTCGTCTGACGAGTTTTAGAAGGAGAGTAGCCGATTGTCGTTGTAGAGGACTTGGATTTCAAGGGCTAAAATTAACCTGAGTTGAAAAATAAGGCGAAACACATTGTTTTGGTGGTGTAAAGGTGGTTTTTTGTAGAAAAAGATTATGTCGAAAAAAGCTGTTGGAAAAAAGCAAGAAAAAGAGAAGAAAATCAAAGTTAACCAGGACGAGCAGCCTCTGCTCCCGTATCCTGACGTGAAGCGTCCAACAGTCACTCAACGCCGACGGCGAAAAGCCGAATTGGAAAAGGACAAGAAGGAAAAGGTTGCAAGCGGTTTTTATCAGGTAACAATGCAATATGAGCAAATCCATCCAACTGCATTTGCATAACGATGATTTGAATGAGAATATTGAGATCAGGTTCTTCTTTTTCAGTCGCATTCTGACCAAGACGACACTTTAGAACAAGTGGAGAGCTTGAAAAATGAACTCACTGAGCGGAGTCATAAGAGATCAGCGAAAGTGGAAAAGGCACAAAGCATCGTAGAAGTAAGCGCTAAGGAAGACGTCAATGATTTCTTCAAGGAAGCGGTTAAAGAAGTGAAGAATCCAATGCCTTCACCGAAGCAACAGGCATAAGGACACGTGTTGGTTGAGATCTTCTCAAAGAGCACGCGTCTTTAAGAAATGCGAAAAAGGCTTGAACTCCGAATACTGTGCCCGATTTTGTACTTTTGAAATAAACTTGTAGAATAATGTTGTCGTTTTGAATAGGTTTTTAAAGAGGTGGAAATTTTTGAAGGAGGCCGAACGCGTCCTTTTTTCTAAAAGAGCACAATGCCGAAAAATCAATGACCGAGAAGAAGCATCTGGTTATTTAGAGCTTCAGACAGATTTATACAGAATTGTGGGCTCATGGTGGCTTCCGCTTAAATTTTAGCCCTGAATGAAGTCATTTAATTAGCAATATTATAAAATTCGCTCTTGTTTCCGCGGCAGTTAAAACCACGCAGAGAGAGAGATGAAAGGAAGAAACACTAGCTGTTATGCACGGCCTAACTTGTTTAATAAGCCGTTTTTCTCTTCATCGCTCTATTGAAACAAATGGGTTTATTAATGAATGAAATTACTAAAAAACGGCAGACCGCCAGCAAATGCTTTCTCGTTGAAGCAATATGCAGGACTGCTAGTTCCTCTTCTATATATACAGTACCGAACTTTATGAGGAGGTGTTTGCAATCCGTCAGCATCTCTGAGTAGATGAAATGATATGTGGGTCGCTGTAGAAGCTGGTTATTCCCCAATTGCTATTGTGGGCTTCATTTTGTTGGAACGGAAAGTTTATATTATTAAAATCAGTTCTTCCGTTTTCTTGAAAGTTGCCAGTACACAGGATGATTAATTTCCGCAGTTTCCGTTCTGAGGATAGAAAACTGTGAAATCGCTGCCCTGATTACAGGAATATGTTGTTTCTGCCACGTGAGTAGATAAAACTGATAACACTCTGAGTTCGTCAATTCACTTAAATTCTTTTTCCCTGCAATACTTCAGAGATAGAATAGCGAATGAAAATGAAAAAACAGGAAGCATTTGTGCGAAACAATTCTACACACCGTATGCGTTTTCTGTTCTTTCGATAATATTTCATCTATTAGCGTACTTCAGAAGTTGGGACGTTAAAACATTTATGTAAAAAGCTTCGAGGAGCTAGTGGTATTGAGGTTACCACATATCCCCTCATCCTCCCAACGGTTTACCGCCTCGTCGTGAATAGGATGTGTTCCTTGGTATCGGGCCTGCGATGCACAGCGGTGTGAGGGGTTCACCCCCCTTTCAGGGTCTCTGAAGCTCAAAAAGAGTCCGGTGTGCTCCTGCTCCTCATCCGTGCTCCCGTATCCTGATGTGAAAATTCCAACAGTCAGTGAACGACGACGACGACGAATAGACTAATTGGAGATAGAAAAGAAGGAAAAGGTTGCAAGCGGCTTTCACCAGGTAACAATGAAAAATAAGTAAATCCATCTAATTTTGCTTGCACGCCGATGATTTTGTATGAGAATTTGAATCAGGTTCATTTTATTTCAGTCACGGTCTGACGAAGACGACACTTTATAACAAGTGGAAAGCTTAAAAGAAGAGTTCACTGAACGGAGTCGTAAGAGGTCAGCGAAAGTGGAAAAAGCACAAAATCTCCTAGCAGTAAGTGCGATGGAAGATGTCAATGATTTCTTCAAGGAAGCCGTTGAAGAAGCGGAGAATCCAATTCCGCCACCGGAGCAGCAAGCATGACGATATATGATGTTTGAGATGTTCTCAAAGAGCAGACGTCATTTAGATATACGAAAAGACTTGAACTCCTAATACTGTGCTCGATTTTGTATCTAGAAAATAAAAATGAGAATTGATGCTGCCGTTTTCAAATAAGTAAGGATTTCTGAAAAAGGTTTAACCCTTTTTTTTGTAAGGGATCAGTCAGCCGAAAATTCCATTTCTGTAAACACCTGCTTATCCGAAATTTCGAGAACATCCAAAATTGCTGGCTAACATTTGCTTTCGCTGAATTTTCAATCCAAATAAGTACTGGCTTCTGTGTGATGTTTAATGTGATCGATGTTGTTTCTACAAGGATTGAAACTAGAGAAAGGGAGATGCAGGAGGAAAACATTGGCTGTGGAGAACGGCCTTACTTGCTTAATAAGCCGTTTTTTTTCAACACTTTATTGAAGCAGGTGCGTTTGTTAATAAATAAAATTGCTGAAAACCGACACTGTGCGGTACACATTAGTCTCTGACTCGATGGCCAGATCTGTTGATTCCTCTTCTATATGTACAGCACCGAGCTTCATGAGCGTGGGTTTGCAAACTACCAACAACCTTAAGCAGGTGGAACGATATGTAGGTTGCTGTAGATGTGGACCATTTCCAAATCTACTGTCTTTTATATTATTGGAGTTAGATTTTTACATTGTTACAGTCAGTTTTTTCGCTTTCCTGGAGCTATTCACTGTATAGGTAGGATTAATGGTCACCGTTTACGAACTGAGTTCAGAACACGATTAAATCAATGTGCCGATTCTAGAAATGTCTCATTTGCACCAAGCAAACGGATTCAAATGGTAATATTCAAGGCTCGCCAAATCCACATGGATGTACCATGTATCCGACTCAAAGCTTAGTTAGTTGCGATTGGATACATAGTTGCTTTTACAATGACTTGTGTTTGCCCACAGATGTGTTTATTCACTGCTGGACCTTGCCACACAAGTCCGGCACCAATTTGCCAACCCGGAGTGACGGCAGGCTTAGTTGGCTCGAGGCAATAGAACCAGGTGTGGGTTTGAGGTTACAAACACTGAGTTCATGCATCGGAAGAACATTTCAAGTCAATGTAGACCATATATGCGTTCACTCATCTCTAACAATTTTTGACTAAGTCGAATTACACGGCGCATTTCCTAAAGATTGTTCAACGTCGAAAGCATTATCCTTTTATTGTTTACTGCAGTTAGCACCCAGTGGGTAATCACGGGGACAAAATTTCATTTAGTTAGTCATGATTTTTGCATCAATACACGACGTTTAACTTAAAATTACAGCTGTATCCTGAAATTTTCTAGTGTCATGGTCGATAGCATCCGAGTTGTCTCGCGCTTTCCTATTTTTTCCGAACGACATCACATATTTACCACAGATCTTTTTCTAAACCGACTTTCACTTAAGCTCAGCACAAATAGCCAATGTACTTTACTAGGTTGTTCGGCATGCATGACGTTGTTTTAAAAATTTCTTCTGCTAAGCATTCGAAGCTTCTGGGTTCGCCAGAGCCACAATTATTCCACTCAGTTTCACTTCACCGCTCGTCCTTGCGACGTGGAACTCAGCAGTGGCTAAGGTGCCGAAACGTCGGGCTGGATAAAATTTTATAACGACCTCGTTCTAGCACAATAATCTGAGAATATATGGTAACCTGCCAAGGTGTGGTGAAAGTTGATTTTTCTGTTATTGACGTCTTCATAAGCGCGAGCATCTACAGGAGTGCGATCCATCCGACTGCGCATCGTTAGAGAGCAATCGAAATGCGTTTTGAAAACAATGTGTACGGCCGTTGCCTCGCGCAGGAGGCACTGCTCGCTGGTTCTTAGGACTTGTTTCCTACTGTTCGGCTCAGTCACGTATTTATCGTGTCCCTGTAACTTGTAAGTATTTGGTAAGATCTTGTACTTTTTCTGCCACGTTCTAGGATCATATCTTAGTCCTACTTGTGCTGAAAGAGAAATCGTCCACCATCCAATCATACCGCTGTCAACACACAATGAAGTTGTGTGAGCTGAACAAAAAATGACACATTGTTTATTTTTTATTTTCTTTAATTTTTTTATTTCACATAGTACATCGCAGAAATTGAAAATGAGATGACAGTGGTCTGCTTGTCAAAAACATTGCTCCACACTGCTTGCAATTACCTGTTTTTCGATACCTTTCGACAATTTTCCAACCATTAGTGCACCTTAGAGGTAGGAGCGTAGAATTATAGAAGAAACTTTCCGCTGAGTTCTAGGTGAATCAATGCTACTATATATCTCTCTCAAGGGCGCGTGTGGCGCAATAGTTGCAGGCGCTACTGCGAGACACACGTGGAATCGATCACCGCGCCCATGGCTCACCAGGTCTTCCATCCCTCATAGCAGCACTGGCATCAGTAGGCCACCAGGAGTCATTGTAAAGGCCAGATATGCATTTAATCACCTTCAGCGATATTTAATGAAGTCGAATGCGCGGCGCATTCCTCAGGGATTGATAAACGCCGAGAGCTTCTTATTTTTTTATATATCTTCCATTCCGTTGGATAACAATAATACTTCGCAACATGGATACAAGAGACCACATGGTGTACCACTCTTGCGCACAGGAAGACCAGCAAGCGAAGTGCGCATATATATATATATATATATATATATATATACCTTATTTGCCCCTAGCTTACCAAGTCTGCCTACCCACCCTCCGGGGTTAGGAAATTAGTGCCGGACTTGTTCAGATCAATACGGGAACGCCTTAGTGCGGTCATCNCATTGAATGTTGGTGCAGTCGATTCTCCCCTAACTGCACGGATGACCGCACTAAGGCGTTCCCGTATTGATCTGAACAAGTCCGGCACTGATTTCCTAACCCCGGAGGGTGGGTAGGCAGACTTGGTAAGCTAGGGGCAAATAAGGTATATATATATATATATATATATATATATATATATACCTTATTTGCCCCTAGCTTACCAAGTCTGCCTACCCACCCTCCGGGGTTAGGAAATTAGTGCCGGACTTGTTCAGATCAATACGGGAACGCCTTAGTGCGGTCATCCATGCAGTTAGGGGAGAATCGACTGCACCAATATTCAATGGAATTTGTAATGAAGACGAAAAATGCTCAAACAGCAGCGGAGCGCACACTGAACAGCTTGAAGATTTTCGTGGTGATGGATGCGGAATGAGTCGTCTAGTGCTAGAAATACCGGGGTGTGTACAGCAGGTGGAAGGCGGGTCACATAAAAAGTTTAGTGGGGCGGTCGGCGTTTCATTCTGCATATATAGCTTCCATGTTTCCAATGCATACATTGAGGTATGAAGAATCATAGACAGTGG